GGGGAGAATCATAAGGTTATTCTGTGAAGTGGCATAGTGTGATGATTGTGATAACTGAAAAATGTATGCTGTATAAAACTAATGAAAGAAAGGACGACACCTACTAAACCTAAGAAGATAAAATGGAATCATAAATAACACTGGCCACTCTACTGGCTGGGACGGCCAAGGAGTTGCGCTGCAACTCCCTGCACTCCTGCGAACGTGGACCCGGGTGCTGTGAGCCTCTTGCCACCGCCGCCATGCCCTGCCTGGGGCCCTAGGGCTGAGGGCAGGTGCTGTCAGGATGCCGTGCACTGGCCCAGATCTGTTCTGGGGGTGTAAATTCAGAGATACATGAATAGATAGCAACAGAAACTGGTATTGGAACAGTCGGAATCAACAATTTTGTACAGGAAGCTTTGGGAGATGGTTTTTACTGAACTCTGCCTAAAGTTGGGACAAAATTGAAAGAACGATGAGTTTGGTGCTTTGAAAAGTGTGAAAGCTGCTAGTGAACTCTGTTCTCCTCTATCAGGAGAAGTAACTGAAGTTAATGAAGCTCTTGCAGAAAATTCAGTACTTGTCAAATCTTGTTATGAAGATGGTTTGCTGATTAAGATGACACTGAGTAACCCTTTAGAACTAGATGGACTAGTGAGTGAAGAAGCATGAGAAATACATACAATCTACTGAGGAGTGAAAATGGAACCCCCCCTAAATAAAGTAGGATGAAACAACAATCTAACATAGTTGTCTTAAATTAGGGGTAGATAGAATACATAAAATAGCAAAGAAAACTAATACCAGTGGGGGGGAAAAATTACAACAGTGCTATTGGAAGAAAATACCCCTTAACTTTCTAATGATTGCAGATAAACACAATATGCATGTTTTTCACAACACCCTATGATTTTTAGGCTAGGCTACAGTAATAATATTCAGAATTTCTGAAATTATCTGTGGTAAAATCTAGCTATAGAAGTTATATAGTTCAAGGATAACATTGTTATATTAAGCCTTATATAATATTGTAACTTACATCTGTCTCTGGATTTGAGTCAAAATACTTCATAGTCTTTCCATTGCAAATAACTAGCAGTGGAGAAAAGTTTTTGTTGTTACAGTGTCAGATAATGAATAGTATCTTAATTTCGCAGTATACTTTGCTGGTGCTATTTTTATACAGTGAAGCAGCAACCTTGCAGGAAAAAAAAGTTTAATAATAAAACATTCACTTCTTTATTTAAAAATAATAAAGAAATGACATTGAGTTAAAGAATAAAGCTCATACTTGGAGAGGGGGAAGGGACGGGGTGGAACAGGTCATTGGGGAGAAAAAGGGACATCTGTAATATTTTAAACAAAAATAAAATTTAAAAAAAAGAAAAAGAATAAAAAAAAGAAAAAGAATAAAGCTCATACTGATGGGGACCATGTCAAAGGGGCGCAGGAGGAGTATAGGGTGCACACAGTGACTTCCTTCCAAAGAGCACAGTTTGGGAAGCGGGGAAAAAGTAACTTTACAGTAGAGAACCCTGACGAACACTACCTCAGCCAGGTGATGAAGTGAACATGAACCAGTCCTAAGTCATGTTGATAGTATGCACCTTTGATAAGATGCAATGAAAATGGCACTCTAACTCTGTTATCGTCCTCCCAAAAAAACATAATCTCTGTCTAACCATGAGAAAAACATCAAATTCCAATAGAAGGGCATCCTGCTCCTTCAAACTGTCAGAATTATCATAAGAAAAGAGAAGTCTGAGAAATTGTCACAGCCAAGAGAAATGCGACAAGAACAGAAACAGGAGAGGGAGAGTGAATGAAATCTAGTATGAACGCTGGAAGCACTAAGGGCCCGTACGAGGTTTGTGATCCCAGTCAGCAGGGATATATCTTTTTCTTTGACCATACTTACTTAGCTGCATAGGTGCAGGCAAGGAGTAGGCAGAGTTTTAACTGCATTTAGCCACTGAATGCTGTAAAGTGCAAGAGGGTCAAAGAAGTGATTATGTGAAAAAAGTGGTGGCCAGGCCAGTGTGGCTCAGTGGTTGAATGTCAGCCCATGAACCAAGAGTTCACTGGATTGATTCCCCATCAGGGCACATGCCCGGATTTCAGGCTCAATTCACAGTAGGGGGCGTGCAGGAGGCAGCCTGTCGATGCTTCTCTCTTTCCCTCTCCCTTCCTCTCTCTCTAAAATCAATAAAAACATTTTTAAAAAAAGAATGATGGACACTGGAAGATCAGTAGGATTTATTCAGGTCCAGTGGAGTCAAAGGATCACTGATGTGAGGGTACTAGGAGTGAAAAGATAGGAGATGGAGTGCAACTGAGATTTAAGAGTTGCGGTTACTGGTGGTGTTAAAGTACAGGGTGTGACCATGGGTGCGTGTGGCTGAGGTAGGCTAAAGGACAAGAGCATCAGAGAAGACGTCAGGGAATCATTAGTAACAAGCATCTTTGTAGCTATTGGAATTGCTTTGAATTATAATATTAGTGATGATAATAGTGTTTGGTAGATGTTTGAAAATTTGGGGGGAAATGTCATGTAAAGAGAAGTGAACCTAAGTGACAAGGAAGTGGGCACACTCATGTAGTGATGGTTCAAGTGTCAGTTGGTATCCTTTTTTGATGGCAGAAACTTGAAATAATTCATTAGAAATTCCAGGTGACCTTGGGTTTGGTGATGTTTTTGGATACAATATCAAAAGTATGTTCCATGAAAGAGCATACTTTATTAAACTGAAATCTTCTTCTCTGAGAAAGACACTGGTAAGAGAATGAAAAGACAAGTTATAGGCTGAAAGAAATTATTTGCAAAACACCTATCTTATTTAGGAATGTTACCCAGATATACAGAGAATTCTTAAAACTCAACAGTAAGAAAACAAACAACTCAGTTTTAAAATGGGCAAAAGTTCTGTATACAACTCACCAGAGAAGACACACAGATTCCAGATAAGCTTATTAAAAGATGTTCAACATTATGTCATTAGGGAATTGCTAAATTAAAACAACAAAGAGATCCCACTATATACGTATTAGAATGGCCTAAAATCCATAAAACTGACAATACCAAGTGCCAGTAAGGACATGGAGCAAAAGGAACTCTCATTCATTGCTGGTGGGAATGCAAAATGGTTGGGCTGCTTTGGAAGACAATTTGACAGTTTCCTGCTAAACTAAACATACTCTTAATATATGATCCAGAATCATGCTCATTATTATTTACCAAATAAGTTGAAAACTTATGTCTATACAAAAACTATACACAAGTGTTTTCATAATCTTTATTGATAATTACTCAATACTGGAAGCAACTAATTTGTGAAATGTATAAAAAATGAATATATTAATAGACTGGTACATCCATACAATAGAATGTTATTTCATAACATTAAAAAGATAAAAAGAAATAAGCTATCAAACCACAAAAGGAAGAACCTTACATGCATATTGCTTAGCGAAAGAATCCAGTTTCAAAAGGCTACATGTATTGTATGGTTCCAACTATATAGAGATGAGTAGTTGCCAGGAGCTTTTGGGGGGTGGGGATGATGAATAAAGAGCATGGGATTTTTAGGGCAGTGAAATAAATTATTCTGTATGATACTGAATGGTGGTGGGTACATGACAGTATGCATTTGCCAGAACCCATAGAACTGTGTAGTACAAAGAATGAACCCTAATGTATACTCTAGAATTTTGTTTAATGAAGGTGTATCAATACGGGTTCATCACTTGTAACAAGTGTATCATACTAATGTAAGATTGGAGAGGAGGTGAAATATGGGAACTCTATATTATCTGCTGAATTTTCTATAAATCTAAAACTTCTAAAAACAGTTTATTAATTTTTTAAAATTCCATTTCTAGGAATTTAAAGAAAATTAGAAAAATATATAAAGAATACAGGGATTTTCCAGAGGGGATTGGCTAAATGAAACATCCATATAATTAAAGACACTAGTCATTCAGCCATTAAAATAATTTTCTAGCTTTATTCTGTTATTAATAATGATGAGGGTGGGGATATAGCTAGTTTGTTTGTTTTTAGACTTTTTTAAAAGCAGTTTTCAGTTCACAGTAAAATTGAGAGGAAGGTACATATTTCCTGTATACTCACTCCCCCACACATGTGTAGCCTCATTATCAACATCTCTCACCAGAGCTTACAGTTTCTTTTAACAATTTTATTATTATTTAATTGATTTTAGAGAGAGGACGCGGGTGGGGGGAAGAGAGAGAGAGAGGGGGAGGGAGGGAAAGAAACATTGATCAGTTGCCTCCTGTGCACACACTCTGACTGGAAACCGAACCCACCACCTTTTGGTGTACAAGACGACGCTCCAACTGAGCCACACTGGCCAGGGCAAGCTTACATTTCTTAACAGTCGGTGAACCTACATTGACACATCATTGTTACCCGGAGTCCATAATTGACATTAGGGTTCATGCTTGGGGTGGTGTACGTTCTGTGGGTTTGGACAAATGTATAATGAATAGCATGTGTCCATCATTATAGTATGCAGAGTATTTTCACTGTCCTAAAAATCCTCTGTGTTGTGCCTCTTCATCTATAGTTACATAAATATAACTAGTTTTTTTAAAAAAGAGGTTTCAATAAACTACATTGTTTTGAAATGTGGTGTGACTTGAAAAAAGCTTGAGAAAGATAAATGGGATACTATATGTTAATGGTGGGATTGTGGTCATTTTCTTTATACCCTTACATGTTACAGTTCTTTTATCAATATGTATGGCATTTATAACCCCCCCCCCACATACACACACACAAAAGAGGAAGCTAATTTTTGAAAAACAATTAAAGAAATGTAACATCTAAAATAATGGAAAAGTATCTAATCCAAATTTGTAGAAATGATACTAACCTCACTTCATTATTTATGGTGATTGTCTTTATGGAAGTGAAAAAAATCCATAAACTTTATAAAGTGCTTTCTCACTTTGTTGAGTTACTACCTTAAGAATATAAAAGGTGTTCTTTTTTTTAGGCCTTGTACCTGATAGCAACTAACGGAACTCCAGAACTTCAGAACCCAGAGAAACTTTCCTCAATATTTCGGGATTTCTTAAATCGATGTTTGGAGATGGATGTGGAGAAAAGGGGTTCAGCCAAAGAATTGTTACAGGTGAATTTGGAAATGAAACTATTTTTGGAAAAAGTTGACTTTTTTGAGTAACAGACGAAGTTCACATGGGGCTTTTAGTTACATTTTCCTGCTCATTCATCAGAAGCATGGCAGCTGCCGCAGGTTAGGATTTCATTGCTGGGACTGAAATACCCTTCAGATTATGATAAGGATATGAGTTTTTGCATATTATTAATTCTCAGACCAGTTCATTGCTGGCATGAGTATCTGGGACATTTAACTGAGATTTTGTAATATTAGAAAAACTAAAAAGACTATGCTTTCTACTATAAAAGTGATAAGTTTTGGTTATGCTGATTTTATGCAGGTATTGAAATACATGTTTATTAAATAAATTATGGTCCATTAAAATCTTTGGGGCTTTAATTGAAAGGAAATATCTTGCTTCTAAGCTGGTGACATTTATACATTTTTTTCCTCCCCTCTTTCTGGCAGCATCCCTTCCTGAAACTGGCCAAACCATTGTCTAGCTTGACACCGCTGATCATGGCAGCTAAAGAAGCAATGAAGAGTAATCGTTAACATCACTGCCATGGCCTCATATTCTCTTTCCATTTCTAAAAGAAGTCTTTTAATATATGAAAACTATTACACTTTTGGGGTTTAAGGAAATGGCCTGCATAACATGGAGGAAAAAAGCAAACTGCTACTTCCTGAAGACAACCAAGAAAAAATTGCAAAACAGAATGACAACTTTCTATTGAATCCCTTCTTTAGGGTCCAAAAGGAATTGTGGACTGAATCACTAGCCTTACTTCTTTCAGCAGACAGCCCATCAGGGCCATTTATCATGCTTGAGATTTGCATTTTATTTGCTGACTTCATTGTAATAGCTCCCATTCATTGTCCCTTATGGGGTATTTTCAGTACTTGAAGAGTAGATTTGAGTTTTTCAGAGTATTTGTTTCATCTGCTAGTCTTCTTTTCTCTGTTTGTAGCCTTCTTTTTCCTTGACTTGCTCCTTTTGAGTTGCTTTGAGAAGTTTTTCTTAGGCCTAAACTTGAGGCAAGTTTGATAGAAATTGTATAGCTCCTTATATTGGCAAAGGAGCTTGATATGGTTTAACTTTGTGCAGAAGTTAGAGCCAGCTATTGTACATGTAATATTTCAGTTCAGAATATGAACTGGGGGAAGGGAAGAAAACTATGTGATTTTTACCGTTTTTAACAAATGTGAAAGTCAACTTTAGAAATTTCATGGTAGTGAAGTGTTTGGCATTTGTTACATGTATAGAGAGAAAACTAATAATCTATATTTATAACTAAATCATTGATTGAGGCAGAAAAAGAATCCCATTGACTATAATCTTTACAGTTTTGTTTCCTTTTTGACTGTTTCGTCTTCTAATTTGGCTTCAGGAACCAGTGTCGTTTGTTCTTGTTCCAACTTTTGTTAGTGCCGCTACGTGCCCCTTTCCCTTTGTTCCCTTCATTTTGGAAATAAGTTTCTGTATATGTTGTAATTTTAGTTTGTTTTTCAATTAACTCTCTCACCCTACTGTCCCCCCCCCCC